CATTCCGGGAGAAATTTGGGGCATTTTGGGCACTTCTGTGGCTCTCGCGGGGGTTTCTCCCGCCACCCAGGCCGCTTTTTTTGGGGGTGTGAAGATGGGAAGAGCCCCAGTTCCCAGCCCGGGCTGGCCAGCAGCCCGCAGGGTTTGGAAAGGGCCCAGCTCCTGATTTTCCCCTCCGCCCGACATTTCCTGGATTCCTGGTTGGGAATGATTCTACAATCTGGTGTTTGTGATCGCGGGGTGTAAATTCCGTGCAGAGGCAGCCCCGGCCTCTCCTTCCTCCCCGCATTCCACCTCTTCTCCTTCTTCTCCCCTTTCCCCCCCCTCCAAACTCAACCCTTTTATTTTTTTTTTCCTAGCCTTTTTAATTTTTTTTTTTATTCAAGAAGAAAATATCCAGTTATTAAAAGGAAAGGAGAGAGGGGGAAAAAAAAGGCAAAATAGCCCGGCCAAAGCTGTAAAGTAAAAATGTGCAGGTCGTGGAATGCGGGCTGTAAAATCCGCAGAGGAGAGAGCCATAAAGCGCTGCTGAATGGGGATGACAACTCCATCTCTGCTCGCGGGTGGAATTCCACAATTCCGCGAGCGGGATCGCACCCTGGGCACCGGGAACAGCAAGGGAAGGGGGGCTGCGGGGAAGGGACCCCTGATTTTACGCCTTGACTCGAGTTTTTCTGGTTTTAAGCTCAGCTGATCCCAGAACATCCAGGTTTTTTGGGTTTTTTTGGAGGTTTGCTCTCTTTCCAAAGCCTCTCCAGCGCTGATCCTCGCAGCGTCACCGGCTGAAAGAGGAGTGAGCGGGGGGGGCTTCTTAAATCTAAAGTCGGATAAAAGCGGAGATGAAGTGTTTACGACCAGAAATATTTGGTCTTTGATAAATCAACTGTAAAAGCGGATGAATTATGGAGCAGGTAATGGAAAGGAGTGACCACCGAATAAGTGCGAGGGAACTCCCGCCTGCCCAGCCCGCCGTGCCTCGGCTGCTGCGCCCTGCTCCTCCTTCCCTCCGCTTCCCGGCCAGCCTGGGCCGCTCTCCGCTCGCCCCCAGCTCTCCTAACGAGCCCTGCCGCGGATTTTCCGCCGCCGCGGAGCGGGGCTGATGCTCCCAGGTTGGGCCAGCTGGAAAAGGAGCTCGCGTTCCCCCGCCCGTGCCGCTCCCAGGCGGGGCAGCAGCGCCTTTCTCGCTCTTCTCGGCATCCCACGGGTGTGAGGAGCCCCGGGCACCGTGACCAGCCCACGAGTGACCACGGGCATCGTTAACAGCCCCACGAGTGACCACGGGCACCGTGACCAGCCCACGAGTGACCATGGGTAGAGTGAACAGCCCCACGAGTGACCATGGGTAGAGTGAACAGCCCATGAGTGACCACGGGCACAGTGACCAGCCCATGAGTGACCACGGGCACCATGACCAGCCCCACGAGTGACCACGGGCATCGTTAACAGCCCCACGAGTGACCATGGGTAGAGTGAACAGCCCAGGAGTGACCATGGGCATCGTTAACAGCCCCACGAGTGACCATGGGTAGAGTGACCAGCCCACGAGTGACCACGGGCACCTGACAAGCCCACGAGTGACCACGGGCACAGTGACCAGCCCACGAGTGACCGCAGACACAGTGACCAGCCCATGAGTGACCACGGGCAGAGTGAGCACCCACACGAGTGACCACACAGTGACCATCCCCACAAGTGGCCACAGACACAGTGACCAGCCCCACGAGTGACCACGGGCACCGTGACCAGCCTCACACCGTGACCATCCCCACGAGTGACCACGGACACAGTGACCATCCCCACACCGTGACCATCCCCACGAGTGACCACACAGTGACTAGGCCCACGAGTGACCACAGACACCGTGACCATCCCCACGAGTGGCCACAGACACAGTGACCCTCTCCACACCGTGACCACCTCCACGAGTGACCACGGGCACAGTGACCAGCCCACGAGTGACCGCGGGCAGCGTGACCAGCCCACGAGTGACCGCGGGCACGGAGGGAGCGCCCAGCCAGCCCCGGAGCGCTCTGGGCGGCCCGGGGGGAGCGGGGCCGCGCCGGGCCCCTCCCGCGGGGGGCCAGGGATATTTATTGGGATATTTATTAATCCTTAATTGACGTTAATGCCCAGAGACGGAGCCGGAGGCAGCCCGGAGGGTCGGGACATGTGCGGGGCCAGCGTGACCCGGAGCGGGGTCACCCCCGGAGCGGGGTCACCCCCGGAGCCGCCCCAGCTCCAGCAGGGCCGCCCCGAAAGGGCTTTCCCCGAGGGTTTTGGGACAGAAGGCGCCGCTCTTGATCCCATTTCCATCCCTGCCTCCACGCCGGGCTGTCACCGCTCGGCGAGCGCGGATGTTTCCGCGGAGCGGGGAGGGATGCGCTGCCGCTCGGGACACCCGGGCCGAGCTTTGGCCGCCTCCAGGAGCACAGCCCCGGCCCTGGAAGCGCCTCCCGTCGGGGGCTTCACCCCGAGCCCCTGTCCCGGAGCGCGCAGCCTCCGCCCGTGCGCACGGCGGGGGCTGCCCGCGATCCCTGCGGCTCCGTCCGTCCCCTCCGAGACAGACAGACAGACAGACACGGCCCCGATCGGTATCTGGAGCTACAAGCGCGGCTTGACGGCAAACGGGGGCGCGGGGGAGGACAGGAGGGGGGTGGCGGTGTGTGGCTCCCCCCACCCCACCCACCCACCCCCTCCTCTCTTTCCAAGACGCGTTTCCAGCGAAACGTCACGAAAGGAGCTGGGGACGACCCCCACCCCCTTCCTCCTCCGCACGCCAGCAAATAATTCCCGCTCCCCCCACCCCCAGCCCCCTCCCGGCCCCCGGCCGCCCTCCCCCGGCCCCAGCCCCCTCCGGGGCTCCTACCTGTGCTCCTCATCCAGGGGTAGATGCGGAAGTTGCTGTCGCCCTGCAGATCCGCGTCCCTCTGGTCGCTTTTGCTGCAGCTCTGCTTGGAGGCGTCCGCCGGGCACATCAGGGCCAGGTTCTGCTCGAAGGGGGCACAGTGCATGTTGAAGGAGCCGGCCTCCAGGCCGTAGCCCGCGGGGTACACGCTGGGGGGCTGCGGGTGCACGGAGCTGCCGCCCGAGTAGAGGCCGGGCATGGAAGCGGCGAAGGGCGCCGCGGATCCGGCCCCATAGCCCGCTCGCTGGCTGCTGGAGGCGAAAGCGCAAGAAGTTTGCTCGGGAAACACTCCGGATGGGAAAACCGAACTTGCGGCTTGATATTTAGAAAATAAAGCATTCGCATAATACAATGAACTCATAATTTGGCCGGGTGATTTGTAGGTCGGGACGTTTTAGTGTCGGTTTTACGAGGTACCGTGATATATTACGGAATTAGAGTCCAGATTTACACCAAAAAAGAGCCTTTTTCCTCCCGGCCCCGGTGACGCGCGGGCACGTGGCTGCGGCGGCGCCAATCGCCGGCCGCCCCCTCCTCGGGGGCACGGGACTGTGCGGCTGGATTTATAAAATATGATAAATAATTGATGCCCTATAAAACCCTGCACGAGCTCTGCTGGAAGGGGTGAAATTGTGCCGGAGTCGATAAGCAACCTGTAATCAGTTTTCAGCTCGGAGCGAGGGAGAAAGGGGAGGAAAAAAATTAAAAAAGAAGAAGAAAAAAACAACATGAAAAAGGGGAGGGGGTTACAAGCACGTTGCTGATAAACCAGCGAGGCTCTCTCGGTCTCTCTCTGCTGGAGGAAAGGGAAGGGAGTTCTATTTATCCCTTTATTGATCCCGTCTAAATTTCCCTCCTTTGCACCATTTCCTCGGCTCCGAGCTACTTTTTCACCAGACTGGCCATAATTCCCTCCCCTCCCCCCTCGACCC